GACCAGACCGGATTAAAAAAATATGATAAGAGACCAATTTTCTTGCCAAAAACTTTCTATTGCTCATTGTACACAGGGGCTTCAGCTGAGCATAATGCTCGGAAAAGAAAAAAAGATAGCTATTATAGTCATTCACTAACAATCATAAAATATTCAACCCATAAACAAGTTGGAGAAGGTAGTATAGATGCACAACTCAAGTAAGGAAAAGTTTTTGTTAAAGAAAAGAAAGAGTTTAGTATTTTTGGAATAATATTTTTTTTTAAATTATTGTAGCAAATTAGATGATCTCTTTTTCTAATTTGCTTTTACGCATGAATTGATTTAGTCTTTATAATCAAATTCAATTCCAAAGATTCAACACAGCTCTTAAATATTCCATACCCAACCTTGGCCTCACCTTTTAGTGTCTTAAATTCAGTGTTGAGATAACCTTCTACAGCTCAAACACAATCTCATTACAAACTTGTGATTTTAATTATTTTTTATATACGTGTATCAAAATATTAAAAGTTAATTGAAAATAAAAAAAATTTAAATTTTTAAAATATATGTTTTCAATTGTGTTCCCAAATCAGCAAAAACCCTCCCGCTAGCCCTAGTGTCGGGTCCGTATGCCTTGCACTAGTCTTTACTATACCCGACAATCAAGCCCCAAACCTTGTTTTGGCTTGAACTCCGAAGAATAAAGTCTCCAACATGACTTGGCTTCCGGACATAGTTTTAAAATGAGGCTTGATAAGTTGATTCAGGACTGAAATCAGATTGAGTATATAAAAAAAAAAAATTAAAAATCTAATTATAATTCGTTAATTATTGTTTTAATTTTTTTACTAAAACAATTTTATTTTGATTTATAAAAAAAATTAAAATTAATCTAGTCAAAACTCGTGATCCACACCTTAGACTAACATTGCTCCCAGACTAACATTGCTCCCACATTGTAGGCCAACCTCTGATAAACAAACAAGTCTTTTTATTAGAATACTGGTTATGCTCTAAGAAAAAATCAAAAATAAAAATTCATAAAGTTAATTATAACTTAATCCTTGTCGTTCCGGAAAAGTAATTAATTAACCTCAAGGTCTCAAAAACTACATATCTAATTCACTATTTTATGTTATTTCCATTTTATTTTGATATTTGATTTTAAGAAATTGAAAAATATAAGTAGACGGTATATTAAGATTGATGAGAAAAGTAAGTTTTTTTTTAATCAAAATACTACTAAATTAATCATAGTTAATAGTAGTCAAGAGATTATTTAATTAATTAATTTTATACTATAGAACTAATTAATCTATTTCAATAACCTAAGTTGAATAGTTTAGATTAACGTCCCAAAATAACAAGCAATTCAACAGTAAACTGCCATACAATAAATTTAAGAAATTAGTTACAAGGCTTTGGAAGTTGAAAGATTGCCTGATAGTGTTCAAGGGAAGGGAGTGTTTAATAGTATTAATGATTATGTTTATTTTTTAAAGTATTTTTTATTTGTAAAAATATTAAAATAATATATTTTCATTTTTAATACTAGTGTATTAAAATAATTAGAAAATATAAAAAAATATTAATTTAAAATAAAAACTAAAAAAATTAGTTTTTTTTAACCATTTTAAAACGTAAAAGAAATATTTCAACAGTGACCATGATTTTCAGGCTTGGGCCGAGCAGGAAAGCCGATAAATGCATGACCAAACTAACGCTCAAGCTATGATTAATGAAGAAAACAGGTTTCCTGGTCTCATCGTCAGAGTTAAAAATACATGCTCAAAAACTGTAAAGAGCTTTAGATTACTAAAAGAATATTTACCAATTCACTGCCCATAACTTTGCATCTTCTTTTTTATCTGATTTCTTTTCCTTGAATTTTCGCTAGCCCGGGTCAAATTGTTTTTTTATTTTTTTTTGTAATGTTCACTTAACTAAATTAGCTCAAGAGAAAGACATGTTTCTCCATCAAACCAGCCACCCTTTTCTTCATTAAAATCTCTATCTTCTTGAGCTATGAAAGTCAAAGTCTAAAATCTATCGATCCCCTCTCATGCTGGATCACTTCTTATTTCCCTGCATGTTCGGCTCATAATATTTAACAAAATTAACACACCTTTCCTTCTTCCATTAACTGAATGGCACTATCTAGCATAGAAATTCAATTCAATGTTTTCTCTGTTATTAAAACATTACTTCAAACTTTAAAGAATGTTAAATTTAATCTTCTCATTACACATGTGCACTCTATTTGCTCAATATGAGATTGACATTTCATATATAAATGTTTCGTATAAAAAAACTACAGGTCGTTCATGTCAGCAACAAGAATCTATATTTCGTATAAAAAAATCAAGTCATTCATGTCAGCAACAAGAATCGATACCAACACTATCATTATAACATATTTAACTTACCAATAGATTTTCAGTTGAAAAGGTTAAGTTATAGATTAAGTGATGGGACAACAAAACTCCTTATATTTCTACTTTAAAACTTAAGGACAACTTTAAATCATTTATAGTTGATGTTATTTACAAGTTTGTTGAGAATTTTTATCCTGAAAATTTCAATGAATAAAAAAATGTATTATTTAAAATCTCAGCTGGAGCATTTTTAAATTAATGTAATTCATAATGAGAGCTTTCAGAATATATCTATCATTTCTGAATTATATAGATAATTAATTGAAACAAATAAGTCTTAACACTATCGTTTCATTGACAAGTTAATTCATCTTATATTGACTTTACTTGTTTTCACTATCACTATAGGGCAAATATTTTCAGCTATAAATAATGTTAAAATTGTGTTTCATAATAAAACGAAAAAGAAATTCTTAATCAACAAAATCTATGATGATTTACATTGAATGATAGATTACTAAAGATATCAATTTAGATTTAATTATAAATAAATTTTATTTTATAAAATATTGAAAGGTGCAATTTCATAGTGTAGTCTATTTTTACTCTTACTTCAGTCTTATTTATTTTAAGCTTTATTTTTTTTATATTTTAGGTTTTTGTATTTTGATTAAAATTTTATTTTTAACTTGAAAAATTCATGTGCATGATTGATTGGTCTTGAACAAAAATTATGTGTATTATCTTAGTAGCCCAGGGCGAATAAAATTCATGGCTCCACCTTTGCCTACTAGAATTAACGGCGCCAATGAACCTGCAGTCAACAATTAAAAACTGTATAAAGGGAAATCCAAGATGTTATGATGCAAGACATTAATGCTAAAATTTTGTGCTTTGTAGCGTGCATGAATGCTCGCTGAAAACCCAGGTGGCGTTTGGTTACTGTCCTAGGATAAAATGAATGAAGATAATAAATACAATACATATAAGAAGACGAAGATAAAATTATATTTCATATTAATATATAAAATAAAATAATTATTTTTATATCATGTTTGATTATAGTAGATAAAACAAAATAAAACATGAAAAGTATTTTTTTAATTTTAATATATATTATTATCAAACTTATATATTTTAAAAATTAATTAGATATTATTTTTTTACTTCATTTTATACTAAATATAAAACTCAAACTTACTTGACTGGTTGACTTACAGCTTGAACTGGTTCAAGTTTACGAAAAAAAAAATGATTAACTTGATATGAATTGATCAAAAACTCAAGTCAACTTGAGATAAAATATGAATTAAAAACTCATTGACTTTTTTGAAAAATAAATTTTGATCAAAACAAGGTTGCTTTAATTATTTTTTATTTTTGACCCTCCGAATCAATGACCTGAACCTTGCATTGGTCGACTCTTAAGTTGAGTTTTATAACCATCATAATAATGATTTTTATTTGTGTATTGACTTAAATCGACCCATATTGACCCTCTCAATTATTAAACTAGCTATGTCTTAGTCAACCCCTGAGTAAGGTTTTAAAAATATGATAATAATAACTTTTATCATTAGATAGACTCGGATCAACCCAAGTTGACATTTCTAATTTGTAACCTGGGCCTTGTCTTATGTTGACTCCTAATCAAGTTTTAAAAATTTAATAATAATCACTTTTATTTTATGTTGACTCGGATCAACTCTAGTTGATCTTAGGTTGGTTTTAAAAGTATGATAATACTCATTTTTTTTTCTTACATTGACCCGGGCCAACAATCAACTACACTTTTTTATTTTATGTTGACTCGGGTCAACTCTAGTTGATCTTAGATTGATTTTAAAACTATGATAATACTCATTTTTTTCCTTACATTGACCCGGGTCAACAATCAACTACATTCGTGACTCAGGCTTTGCCCCAACTGGACTCCTAAATCAGGTTTAAAACTATGATAATAATTATTTTACTTTTATGCTGACTCGGGTAAGTCCATGTTAATCTGACTCATGACTCAGGCCTCGACCAGTGACCCGAGTTTTTTCTTGGATTGACCCCTGAATTGGATTTTAAAATTATAACAATAATAATTTAATTTTATCATTATATGTTGTAATTGAATAATTTTAGAATTGAGAATTTTTTATAATGATATTTTAGAAAAAAAAAATTGCCTAATGATATTTTAGAAATAAAAAAAAAATTGTCTATTAAGACATATCTTCTTTGTGTCTCATGTCTTGAAAGCACAAAAATTCACCCTGAAATTGTTGCAAAAACATTTATTTTTTATCTTTATCTATATTTCTTCAATTAAATACATTTTTATCTTTATTTTCTTTTTTATTTATATACGATAACAGTATCCAAGTGACTAACTATTGTACTTGCGTTAGTTTCTAAATTTTGAGAGAGATGGGTGGCTTAAATTAGCTGGTGAGAAGACTTCACTGGAAAACCAACAAGTAGAAACTCATTAGTTTTAAGCAAGAAGCAGTTTCTGAAGCTTCAGGAAACAACAATAAATTGCCTGCCTTCCAAACTTCTGACGAGTTGTTCTGCTCGCTGCTTGGAGCTTTGACATTTGCCCTGCATAATTTGACTTTGGAATTCATTATCTGGCGAAGAACTCCTGAATGAGATTCACAACCTGTGAAATAACATTTGGTGTAAAATTATCACGAACCATTCGTGAAAGCTAAAAACTCATTATGAAATCAAGCCCTAGCAAAATACCAAGAAGTGCTTGAATTGCAGTTTGTCGTGCCAGTTTCTCTGGCTCTATCCTGCTTCTTGCTACTTCCATGAAAAAACAATTTAGAGCACAGACTGGTCACATGTCTTCTGCTTCAGTGGTCGTATACTTGGGAAATCCCAGGTCCTTCTTGATGCAAATTCTGGCAAAATAGACTTGCAACGTCTTGGATCCTAGAATACAATTTAAACTGATCTGGTGAGCTTCATTCTCTTGTCAAAAGAAGTTAAATTAAGAAAATCAGAAGATGTCAACAATGTGTAATACAATCAATGCAATCCATGCACTGCTAGAAGCCAAGAAAGTAGCAGATAACAAAATTCTTCTTCAAGTTCAAAGCATAATAACCTGGGAATTCACACACCTTGTAAATAGTGGGAAGAGTCTTCAACTTTCAGCTTTTCTTTTATGCACTCAAGAGCAAATTTTTCAACGTCCTACTCGGCTTCTTTTCGATGAGAAAATGTTAGCCTAGATGCATATGTTGTTCCATAAACCAGCACAATTGACCTAAGCTTTGTTGCGTGATGGAATCCTTCATTGGTGGTATGGTAAACTGGAAATGACAAGTGTAATTTCTAAGTGTACTCTTGCAGGTTGTTCTTATACATCAGAAGCTCTGGTACATTTACCATGTGGAACATCCAAAGAGTTAGTAATGCAATTTCAAAGAAGAAAATTGGAACCATAACTTTAACTCCCATGCCCTACAAAATACTAGTAATCATGTTTAGCAATTGGGGTTTGTTTGTTTCGGGTGAAAATGTTTCCAAGAAAAAATAATTTATTCGAAAAAACCTGTAAATTAGAAGGATCAAAACACTAGACATGATAATCACATAAAAGTAAAAACAGAGGTTTAGGGAAATGATACTAGAGCAGAAAGAAAGTAAGGAGGAACATTACCTTTCTCCATTTTTTATGCACAGGTTTTAATCCCTTCTGTTTAGGATCTACTCGTGGCATTTTTGTCTATTTATAAACAAGAAAATGGATGGTCTTGATTGATGAAAAAAACTCCATTGCAGGGTAAATGTTGCTCGATGCTTCGGTTAACATGCTGTTCCCTTTCTTTTGTGCAAGCCCACATGATTTTGATTTTTCAACAAGTTAAGCTATATGCCTGGGAATGTACATACCACATGAACCAGAGTATGACAAGTTCTTTCGCTTTTTTCTGGAAAAAAAAACACACACACACACACACACCTGTGATATTTATTTTCTTTTTCATTTTAAATAAATAAAAGGTGAAATATTTATAATATAATTGAAAAATCAACAATAACATATCAAGTACTTTGAAGCAATAGACTTTTATTGCTAAACTCCACTAATTCAAGTACACATCTGATGGTTGTATATTGATAGCAAACTGGCATGGCATGGTCTGCTTGAAGAGAGGCTGTGATACTTTTGAATGCTTTCCTGAGAAAGCAACTTTTAAGAGATGTTGCATGCAAGCTGTTTCCCTTCGAGGCACTTCTGCCTGACTGGTGCTTATTTCTACTCCATAAACAACAGAAAGCAAAATCCCAGAAAACCAATCAGTCATTCAAGTCAAGTTTTTAGCTTAAACCCCTTAGCATCTCCAACAGGGAAGCTAAAAGAACAGGCAAAAGAAAAATATTATACTTCTAGCTTTTTTTGTTTGTTTTTGTTCACTCCAACGGGTCAGTTAAATTGACAATTAAAATAGCTGTTGAACATAATAAATGCTATTTCTATATTTTTCTATAACAAAAGACAAATGTAAATAACAGTGCTGACTATCTTTTTTTCTCTGTTGATTTATATCCATTAGCCAACATTTTTATTTTGTATTTGTTGGCGAAAATTAATTTATTTTCATTTAAAAGCAGAACAAATAAAAAGAAGAAAACAACATTTAAGCAAAACAGAAGAAAAAAAAACTTATCTACAAATTTTACCCTTCTCTCTAATTTAGAAAAACAAGAATTAATTGTTCTCTAATTAATTAATAACATCAATTATATTAACTAGTTGAAATCAAAAGGTATGGTTGTTTAAAGACTTTTTCTATTTATTTATTGTTTGCATCTCTTGATTTTTATTTGTTATTTGTGATGATTTTTATTTCTTTGTTATTTTATGTTTTTGATATAGGTTAAGGAAAATAATTTTTATTTATATTGTTATCTTTAA